ATACAATATTTAATATAGAGGAACTCTCTTTTTGGGGGGAATCAGGGGCTGATCCCGGGGGTTCCCAACTCAAGAGAAAAGGGGGGGGGGGTCCAATCATTCAAATGCATTGATCTTTTAAATAAAAGTCGGGTCAAACCCGCGGAACCCCCAACCCCGGATAAAGATCAATGCTTTAGAATAGAGACATACGACTGGGATAAAAAAAAAATACCTTCAAGCAAAAGAGTATTTAAATGATTATTTTTGTATTCCATATAGATGCTTATTGGAATTTCCTAAAATGTGTTTTTTTAATATCATGAAACAATTTGTAGTGAACACTATTAGTAATTTCTTATGTTCATGCTATTTAAAAAATAATCAATTTCTATTGTTACGAATAACAATGGACTTTGTTTGCGGGATGTAGAAGCAGGGATTTCCAGAAACCCCGCTCGTCACACCCTGTGGTCAAAATCCATTGTTATTCGTAACAATAGATCTATTCAATTTGCACATGTTTCAGAACTAGAAACTATGAAGTATAACAATAGAACTGGGGTGTAACTGACAATCGTACCTTACACTCTTATATCATTATTTATTTTATAATGTAACCAAAAAACTAATTAACACCTGATAGCCAGTGAACAATGGCATTTGGCTTTTATATTGTTTAAATTAACATAAACCGTTATTGATCCGTCGAACGGAAAACAATAGATAGTTTACAAAACGCTTTAGCTATTAGAAAGTATCGAACGTATGCATAAATTTTCGCGGAATTTATTTTCGCGATTTCTCCTGACCGGCCAAAATAAGCGAAAATAAACACCCCGCGAAAATAACCCGCTATACGGTATTTGATTTGATAAAAATTATTTAAATAATTTTATTTTTACTGCTGAAATTATCAACTAAACTCATTCAACACAGTTACCATCTCAATGGATTAATTTTATACAAATTACACATACATGTCAATTCATCCTTTTCAAATAAAATTAATGCACAAATCTGTTTTTACACATTTAGTTTTGTTTCAGTTTCATCAACGGACTGGACAAAGAAATAACACGATGAGTGTCTTATATAAAATGCTTGCCCTTCCGAAGCACCTGATTTCACTCCTAGTTTTTAATTGAGTTCGTGTTATTTTTTATTTATTTTAACTGTTGTTGTAAATGTCTTTTGGTTTTATGAGTCTTTGTTTACTCCTTGGCTTTGATTGTAATTATCTCATTTTTTTTTTTATTATTTAATTGCCAATATATTGTATTGTATTGCATTACATGTATTGATACTGTATTGTCTCCCTTACTCCCCTGTTCATGTACATGTATATTGTAAGTTGTGTCCCCTGATTGTTTTTCCTGCCTCATGCTTCGTTATTAAATGTGCCTTCCTAACGATTACATATTAGTTTTCTGTGCTTACTGGCGAATGATAAAAACCTACCAGTGTTTCCAAAAGTGGATGAAGTTTTCACTGAAACAAAATAAGATTTTGTTTCCACTTCATTGTGCCACTTAAGCTCCTCCAACTGTTCTTTTGATTCAACAAAGCCATTATATAGATGATGGAATGTAAAAAAAAAATCACACCATCCTTTACTTTAAAAGTTTTGATATTCATGCATGTCAACTCACCCCATTGTCAGATTAAACCCTGAAAAATTAGAAGCAATGACTCCCAGTGGGACCAAACTTTTTAAAATTTACCAAATAATGTAAATGTCTGATAAAACGATAAAGCATTGTGATGTTTAATTCAAAGCAGGCAAAGCCTGAGACTTGACATTCAGGAGAGGTATATTAACTTGTAAACTTTAATACATTTTTTTCAAAATTTAACACTATAAGGTATGCAGAAGCGGATTTAGGGGGAGGGGCCAGGGGGCCTGCCCCCCTTTTGCGGGAAAAATTTGGTTGATTATATTGGGAATCACTGAAGCGTGACTGGAGCGGGCCCCCTCTTATAAAAATTTCTGGATCCGCCACTGGTATGGGGAAAATCGGGATTCAGAATATTTTGTTTGATCATCTGCTTGACCACAATATATTTTTTCATTAAATTGGGGATCAGAATTTTTTTAGGAAAAAAACATATCCCCTCCTTGAAGTTAAATGGTCTTTCCCTAAGACCTCTATAGATGTCAACATTTGTACAGACAGGACTGTTAAACTTCTTTGATACCATATTGTATAGAGTTATTTTTTGTATATAAGCTTTGCATTCATTCATAATATCTATTCAGTTTTATGAGAGAGAAAAATGAGAACCGACTAATGTGATTTAATACTTTTAATTCAATAAATGTAAAAGTAGGTGCGTTAACTATTCAATCACAAGGTAAGAAGTAATTTCATTGATATTAAATCTTCCAACTACCTGTATCCTGTGTCTGTTTGAATTGGGTTTGTTCCATATTTGCGCTGTCCTACATGTTTAACTATTTAGCTGTTCTCTCCCTCCTATGCTACTTTCATTTTCAAAAAGAGCGCCGGAAATAAATACGGGGAAGTCCTTCTATTTTTAACCAGTGGATGCGTACGCATTTTCTGGTTCCAAAGGTTGTTATCTAGTTGGTTCCTAAACAAAAGGATAATCCCTTACTAAGAACATGATTTACATTCATTCTTCACAATTAAGGAACACCAAATTCTACACTTTCATTGGTCGAGAGCACTTTGCTATATTCTAAATGCTATAGTATGATAATACTTATAGTTATAGCCCCAGGAACTTCCGTAAATGATTTAAATGACCAAACTGGCAGAGTTTAAAACGTAGAACGTCCTAGATAATATGTTAAATACATATAACGCAACGATACAAGTTCAAAATGTAGGACGACTTTTAATACATATAAAACACAAATGTACAGACACATCTTAGGTTAGTTGATATAAACCGATGTGTTCTGTACACAAGTTTTCAAACCTAGTATTACCAAATTTTTAAGCTCAGCTTGATAGGATAATTTGTACTTAAATAACCCGACATTCTGAGGATAGTGGAATAATAATAGTATACAATTTACACTATTTAATCGTTAATTTTTGCAATGATTAGTCACATTTTACAATCCGTTGATATATTTGTTATTTTAACATTTTTGATTGCACTTCTCGTAGCTTACATTCTGTGGAACAATGTGACCCGCGCTCATAATAACATTCCAGGACCTACTCCGTGGCCGATTGTCGGCAATTTACCTGCATTTGCAGCTTCTTTCTTTCAAAATAAAAGTTCTCGGAACAGAAGTGAACAATTTTTAAAACTTCAGAAGAAATACGGAGATTTAGTGTATCTCCGATTTGGAAACTTTACACAGGTTCTTATGTTCGGATACACTAAGATTCATACAATGTTGGTCCAAAATGCTGATAAGACAAAGTTCCGACCAACCAATGCAGCTGTTGTAAAGAATCTTTTTCTAAAAGAAGCAGGTAAGAATGAATATCAATAACATAAAATAGAATTGAAAGTGAAAACGGGAAATATGGCAGAGACAACAACCCGACCAAAGATCAGAAAGCAGCCCAAGGCCACCAACGGGTCTTGATCGCAGCCAAATCCCACACCCGGAGGCGGACTACAGCTGGCCCCAAAACAACAATGTATATCAGTTCAGCGAAATGGACGCCACACCAAACTCCAAAACATATAAATGACCTTATTATGAAGTCTAAAGTATTCTCGCGATTATTATGAAGTCTTTATATTATTCTCGCGAGAAAACTTACTGAAATGTCTTTCTGTACTAACGGAAATTCCTAAAAATCAAAACATAGATCACACATATCTTAAATCTTCGTGATGTTGTCAACAGCAACAAAAAAGAAATCGCACACCTTGCTGAAAGATCAATATATTCCCGTTAAATATCAACATTTTATATAACGCACAAGGAAAAGTTCTGTAAACATAATCAAACAGCTACCCAACGACAATGATTACCAACAGACATCTAGAGGCCAATGTGCAGACTATTATAGTAGGGTGTCATTACAATATGAAACGCTTTAAATAGTACCGATTCTAAAAAGTTGAGAATAAAAACAAATAAATATAATAATAAAACAGTTATCATATTATGTTATTAGTTATAAGTAACTAGGGGTTATAGATAAGTTAACCATCAGTTTCTAATGTTGTGAAAGAAATTCATAGAAAATTTACCTTTATGAAAGAAAAAAGTAAATAACAAAAATACCGAACTCAAAGGAAAATTCAAAACGGAAAGTCCCATATCAAATGGCAAAATCAAGATACAGCCTAGTTAAAGCTTAACAAACTATTTTGGTCTTGATGCAGAATTTTTGCATGTTAGTTTATATGCCAACAGTGTTATCAGTTTATCACAATGGTAACATTCGAATACGTAAGATACAACATGTGTTATTAATAATCTCAATTAAAATATGTAATATTATAATAGGAAACAGGTAAGTGAAAAACTTCTTTTAGGATTCATGAGGGCATACGATACAGATCGAACTGACATATATCGAAAAATAAGTCTTGCTTGAGAGTCTATTTTTCTTAAAACATTTTGACAGGGCATACCAAAATTGACTTTGAGTTCCATTTTTAAGAAAATCAACGTAAGATCTCATCTGTACAGTATCCCAACATGAAAAATCATTTTATATGATGATTTAAAAATGGCAATCTTATAGGCACAAATTTTCTTGCTCGCACGTGTCCAGAGGACATTAAATTGAAATTTCCAAAACTCGATCTCGGTGCAGACATTTGTTATGCTTTGAAAATTCACACGACTGAATAGCTTACTTTTTACGCCATGCTTATAATTTAAATCAAACTTCAGAACTAGTTCTACACACACTAGTTTTTGACCTGCAGATAATAGCAAAACCTAAATTCTTATTATTATAAATATTGAACCTAAATTATGCTTTTTTAACAGGAGTTGCCATGAGTAATGGACAGGAATGGGTGGACCTAAGAAGATTCACCATGGTCGCCCTCAAAGACTTTGGTGTTGGTAAAAAATCATTAGAAGAAAAAAACAGGAAGAAGCACGATTTCTAGTAGAACTGTTTGCAAAGCAAAATAAAAAACCTTTTGATGTCAGCAAAGTCTTTTCAAAGGCAACGTCGAATATAATATCAAGTATAATTTTTGGATCAAGGTACGTATACATAAAACGTCATTCGGTTCTCTGTGTGCAACTTCAATCATATATAGTCCGAGCTGTTTTGGGGAAATCATTTGATGTCTTCTGACCAAATATAAGATCATGCATTGAGTTTGATAGAAACTTTGAATATCAAAAATGGTCGGCAAGTTAAGATTTACAATTAAGTCACATTGCCAAAATCGCCAGATGACACCTTATAGGAGTTATTGTCCTAAAATGGCTTAAACGATGTTTATCAATGTTTGCGTATTTACTATTTTGTTTAAAAATATATAATAGATAGAGAGGAACTTTAACGCAAAAATATATAACTTGACAATTTCTACAATTTAGTCAACATGGTTGAAATCATCAGATGATTCCTGATAGGAATTATTGCTCTTAAATGACGATTTTAACCCATTCAAAAAAAAAATTGGCAATAATCTTGAAAACTTGAATCGACAGAAAGTACTTGTAAAAAGCAAACATGATAAGCGACCAAGATCTACTATTAAACCAACATATCCGATATCATTAATAATTCCTAATGGAAGTTACTGTTCGTACTTGAAGATTGATACCAATTACTATCGTTTTGGTCTATACTATTTAAAAGCAACTAAAGAGAGAAGCAAAAAGCAAAAATTGCCGGAAAAGCAAGATCTACAAATAAGTCAACATGGCAGAAATCGTAAATCAAGGTATTGCCTTTTAATGACGGGTTTTACCAATTTTTTGTTTCTTTTTTTTTCGGTGGGAACTTGTAAACACAATAAAAATAAGATATGCTATTATTTCAAAATGACCGAAATCGTTAGTCGTGTTCTAAACTTAGAGATAACTTTTTAGGAAATGTGGTTAAACATATGCCAGATTTTATGTCCTGGCAATAAAATGAGAAAGTTAAATATCTTTTTTGCCCATCAACCTCAAAAAAAGTAGAAGGCTTAGGGTCCTTTTTTAAACAGGCATTAGAACTGAGGACAGGGGACTTATTTATTTATATTAATATATAAATGGATTGTTTTGCTTTTTACTTGTATATGTTTTATGGAATATGTTTTCCTATGGTTTTGTTTTTGTATTTGTATTTGTGTGTATGTTTTCATTCATATAATTCTTATTTGTTATATTTATGTATGTTACTGTCACAAATCTTATGATTTATATGGCAATAAAATTATAGTAAAAGTATAGTTCTTAAACGAATTATTGCCCTTTAATTACGATTATTATCCTTTTTGCATTTTTAGCAAATAATGAAGCAAATAGAGGAAAACTTTAAACCGGTAAACTTTAATCAACAAAAAGGATAAAGACAGAAGATCTATACAATACATATATATATATACATAAGTCACCATGTCTGAAATCGTCAGTCAACTCCTTGGTATATACCTATATAATGGAAATCGTCAGTCAACTCCTTATTATATACCTGTATAATGGATATCGTCAGTCAACTCCTTGTTATATACCTATATGATGGATATCGTCAGTCAACTCCTTGTTATATACCTATATGATGGAAATCGTCAGTCAACTCCTTGTTATATACCTATATAATGGAAATCGTCAGTCAACACCTTGTTATATACCTATATAATGGAAATCGTCAGTCAACTCCTTGTTATATACCTATATAATGGAAATCGTCAGTCAACTCCTTGTTATATACCTATATAAAGGAAATCGTCAGTCAACTCCTTGTTATATACCTGTATTATGGAAATCGTCATTTGATTCCTTTGATTTGATATGATTTGTTTCGGTTCTTATCATCTTTGGCTTTCAAATATTCGGCTTTGAGCATTCCTAATGAAGGTAAATCTAGAAAAGCGTTTCGGATGCATGACATTTATAACGTGTTGTTTTCATTTTTTTTCCGAAAGTTGTTGACTCTAAATCACAATTTTACCCAATGTTGCTTATTGTTCTGAAACCTATAATGGATATTCAAAATCTCTGTACATCAAAAATGATCAGTTGCAGTGTGATTGTATCGATGTAATGCAAAAATGTCAGGTTAAATATACTTTCTCCTCGGATCGTCTAGTTTTAAAATGTAGGTACAAAATACCTGTTTACATTATGGAAAAAATACTTCAGTTTCATAAAAAGAAAAAAATTGAAAGAGCCAATATATGGAATGCATAACGGTTCTAGATAATATACTGCACAATCAGGAGAATTCGACCTCAGAGATTTAGACTTGATACCGTCAATAATGATGTCCGTGTTTACTTAGTATTTGAAAATCAAAGTTGCAATAGGTATGGTATAGGTAAAGGAAATTATTGCAACAGACTAACCTTTAACATAGGTAGAATTTTAGATTTATCTGATTTACAATTAGGAATATTACCTTAATTGATGCCAAAAAAAGACTTGGGTTGGAAAAAGAAAGTGCGACGGATTATTTCTCTACGTCATCTTTTGTTATGACGTCCGGTAAGAAAAGTTTGTGATTGGCATCACCAGAGGTGATAGGTGTAAGTTTCTAGTAAGTTAGATGTACAAGGAACGGTTTTACTTGAATAATTTCGCAGATATTGTATTTCTGAAATTTCCCCCTTCTGTTATCCTATACAAAAACAAATTACTAATGTTTCGTTGCAGATTTCACTTTAATGATCCAGTTTTTAACCGTCTACTTGGAAACATAGAATATTTATTCAAAAATAATGCCTCAGCGGAAAATGTGATACCTTTACCTGCTTTTCTAAATCCATTTAGTAAGGTAAGACAACTATTGAGTATAACTTGTAAGGTATATTATTGTTACTGACAAAGTATGTCTACACAACTTAGATGCATCAGATAAGGTGTAATACAATTTATTTGGCTCTATTGACCTAAAGATTAAGCCAGATTTCGTCATCGTTAGTTACATTATGCAGTCATATATACATGTAAGTCCCTTTTGGTCATAATACGTTCTCATCTAAAATTAAAAATTCTCATTCACGGTCATTTGCCATAATTCGTACTCAAATATGTCGAATTGTAGCTCATAAGACAAACGTATGCAAAAACGAGAAAAATAAAGGAAAACACGTTTTTCTTTTTATCAAACATTTGAAAATCGAGAATCTGGCATATTGAACACCTGGGGAATGCTGAACTGAATCTTAATAAATTAACTTGCATTTCTCAGGCCTGTATGCCAGCATACGAACCTGGTGTATGCTAAAGTCTACATTTAATTTATACATTGTATTTCTCAGGTCTGTATGCCTGCATACGAACCTGGTGTATGCAGAACGGCCAATATTGAATCAAATGTTGTATTTTGCAGGTCTGTATGCCAGCATACGAACTTGGATGTTTCCAGAATCTTCAATGTAATGTATTCGAATCAGTAGAGCATACAAACATGGTGTTGCCAAAATCCTTTACTTCAGTAGTTGTGTTTTAACACCGATTTCGATTTTTTTTAAACTACAAGTCTACGACTGACCTCTATATTTTCTCCCCATAGGTAAACAGAAAAGCGTTAATTTGCAAAGCAAACTGTTAAAGCGTTTACTGTTGTAAATCTAAAAATGAAAACCGATTCTCAAGTTCCACGACTATGATCACTTTCATATTGACATGCAAATTATCTGTTTTGTTTTTTGCAAATTAAAATTACGGAAAAATGAGGCCATCATAATTTGTACAAGGTTCCAAGTTGTTGACAAAACTTTAAATGACGTCAGGGACCTTGTGACGTAAGGCGGAGGGAATTACAGACGGATAGCACAATGAGGGCCTTGACCTACGCGAGCTACTTTCACCAGTACACTTAATTAAAATAATAGCAATTAATTACAAAACAAAATAGTTTTTTTATACTTTGTATTGGTAATTGATAAAAAATCAAAGAACAAATGGACTATTTATCTGCGTTGAATGACCTCTAATAACACCGTATGTCACGCGCTCTTATATGACGTCATTTCTAAATGTAAACAATGAGAATGATCAATGACGGAGTTCCCGTCACGGAGAAGAAAATGGACAGTTCATTGAAAAGTACGCTCTATTATCATCTAAATTTTAATATACCAGAAGCAAAACAGAATGTTAGTACATTTAAGGTAAGTAAACCTCGCTGTTTTTGTACATTTTCCACGAATTTAATAGAACACCCCCTTTTTTAAAATTGACTCAATCCGACCTGAAAACTGTTATTTATATAATAAGATTATTGATTATAGATGCTAATTGTGTTTTCTCAAGAGGTTTGTCCACTTCAATCAATTTCATGCAGGACATCGTGTGGCCAACTATCAAGCTGCCCCCCCCCCCTCCCAAAAAAAAAACCAAAATAGCCTTGCAAGACGTCATAAGTATTTGGACTACCACCCCCCCTCCCCACCCCACCCCGAAAGCATTTAGAGAAAAAAAATGAATGGGAAATACGATTAGGTGTACATCCACAGTGATGTCTCCTTGCATTAGTTCCAGAGGCGGATTTAGGGGGTGCTTTGTGGGAAAAAATTGGTTGATTATTGAGGAAAGCATGACTGGAGCGATCCATCTCTGAGGTAGTCAGTGTCCACCCCCATCCCCCCATATGCAACTGTGGATCTGCCACTGAGTTAAGTCTCCCGGCTTTTGTTTTAAATTGAAATTCAGCCCCTATCCAGATTTTCAAAATGCATGACCAATGTCCTTCAGTTAACCCATTCATTTCTTATTCTAACAATTCTTAGGGAAACAACTGTCCCAGGTAAGGGCGAGGGTTGAGCGCTCACATGTTAAAACCGGCCACACTAGTCTTTATGTGCCTGTCCCAAGTCAGGAGCCTGTAGTTGAAGATGTCATTAATAATTGGTTCATGTATGTCGTATTTCTTTTTCGTAAATTGTTTTGCAATAAATTAGGTCGTTAGTTTTCTCAAATGCATTGTTTCTTATTTTTCATGTTGGGACCTTTTATCATCTGACTATACGATATTGGTTTTTTCTCATTGGTGAAGTCCGTACGGTTGCCTATACTTGCTTACATCCACTTCATTTGGA